GAAAAAGAAGAACGAGAAGAAAGAATAAGAAGAGCAGCTGAAAAAGCAAAACGACCTATTCGTTCTAATAACTGTTTACGATACTAATTTTCAGTTTCATTTACAGAAACATTACAATATTTCTGACTAAAAGATCAGAAACTCAATTTGATATCATGTATGTGCTATTTTCAGATTCATAATCTTTACAGAAGCATTACGATATTTCTGACTAAGAGATCAGAAAAACTTGATTTGACATGATGTATTTGATATGATGTATGTGCTATTTGATATAGAATAAAAGATGTGTCATTTCTTGTTAGTAATGTTTCAAAGATTATCATTCTTTTTGTTCTTTATTATTATTTTTGTCACTTTGATGATACTTATTTATTCGCGCTGTTTATAAGAAAGAAAATGTTTGTCTGCCACAGAAAATTATTTGAATTCATCTTTTAAAACGTTCCCCAATTTTTTTTTCCCTGTTTTCTCGTCTTTTATATCGAGTAGGTACAGTTTTAGTCTGTCTGGAAGAACTTAGGAATAGCAGGCTGTTTCATGAGGCTACTTTGGAAATTGGCAATCGATGATCGATGGAACGTTTCGTAGTGGTGCACAAGCATTTAAGCTTGACACGCCTATGAAATTATAAGATATAAAAGGAATATGAGCTGTCTATGCTGCCAGAGATCATCGGAGCTTGTAATAGCATCAAGTCCGATGATGTTAAAACTGATCATTGAATGTATATGAACCAAGAATAATTAAGGAAAAGCTTGAATCTCCATTAAAGCTTCTCAGAAAAACTATACAGTGAAATGAATACAATGAAGAGCACACTGAAAAAACTACACTACAATTCATCTGTATCATGCCTTATATACATCTGACTACTAACCGACTTACATAAATGAAAATATCTTCTAACAGAATCCAGAACTAACTAACAGAAGACTTAATTAACTAACAGTGACAGCTGGACTAATTAACAGTGAACTACAGTGACTAACATTTACATTCAACTCTTTGCAATTTCCTTGTTGTATTCTCCAATAGGTAGGGTTGACGTTATTGGACATTGGTGGACCTAATTAAGGAGTTTTAACATAATCAAACTTAAAGTTGTATTCAACAATTTCTTTATACGAGGTTTAGTAAATAGATTCATTACATTTTTTTGACTCCACTGGTATGATAAAAGTTATTCCATCTTAAATTAACTTTCTCACGCAGTCATGTCAGAAACTTATACCTTTTGACTTCTCATTATATAATATTTCTATGCTCGAATTAGAGTGGCTTGTTGTTGGTCTAAAAATAAGAATCAATCACAAACAACCTATTAATTTACCTGGATTACTAACAAATCTTATCTCTGGCCAAGATGTGATCATTCCTAAACATTTCCCCAATATTAACCACCTAGTTTCTCAAGTTTAAGAAATAATTTACAAGATTGAGGAGTCGAATTCTTACCTGCACATGTGAATTTTGTGGGGAAAAAATGCAGGTTGCCCAAAATTGCCCCTCTTTATTTTTCAAGAACGCAATTGCAGAAAATAGGAATTTTGACCAGTTTTCTGCATTAAATCTCGATTCCCTCGCTATAACGACGTCTGCATCGCTATAACGATAACTTACCCGCTATAGCGGTTTGAGCACAGCTAAAGCGGTTTGAGCACAGCTAAAGCGGTTTGCCGGATTCTATAGAGAATCGATGAAAGTTCAGTAACCTCAACTTGGAAAAAGGGCCCTTTTTACAATACAACACTTTCCCTTGACATCCTGACTCGTGTCATTCATGTCAAGGTTAATTTTCAAAGTTTCTACAAATTCGAATTCAATTTTGAAAGGCCTTATGAATTCCTTAATGTCTTGCTATAAGGATACATCAATCAAATCTCAACTCAAGACCCCACCCTTTCCCGGATGGCCATAGACCTCACCTAGCCCAAATTTCATCGAAGACTTGTCTAGCCAAAAAATTTCAAGTTACTATCCGAAAATTTTTTTAGCCCAAATTTCTTCCGTATGAACCTACTCATAACAACTAGATCAAATCGTTACAGTTTGTTCTTGCAATAATTGGAATATGCTTTGACCAGTCCATGAGTCTGTCTTGCTCTTTTTTTAGTATTAGTTATTGTTTCTTGTCAAATGCTCCATTTGTCAAGTTATAGTGTATCACAATAAAATAAATCATAGTGACCAACAAGGATAGTGGTGGAGTGGTGAGTACTCTTTCATCCTTAACCAAGAGGTTTCAGGTTTGAATCCCCTTGGGTACGTCGGACTCAAATGTGAATACCGAACATTTGATGATCAGAAACCAAAAAAATAAATCATAGTGACATCTAGTACTTTAAATTGAGTAATTGATGAAAAATATCACGATGAATATTTGATTGATAATATGAAAAACGAAATAGAATAGAAGGCTTGAAACACAGATGAAACGCTTTCATAAAAATGATATTTGCTCTCTCTCCTCTTCGAAAGTGCTATAGGATTGCACACAAATAGTTTTAGTGGATATGATAAGCCTATTAATATATGCACTAAACAAATAATGAAGAAATTCCATTGAAAAAGCAAGAACTTGAACTTGATCTTTTTGGAGAACAAAGAAATTCTTTGTAGAAGTTATAAGGAAAGATACTCTATTAAAATTACGTTAGAATCTGCAATAGTTCGATTTTAAATAAAACTTGTGGTAGCCAAAGAATGAAAGAACACATTCTTTCATTTAAAAGACATCAACTAAAGAATGAAAGGACACACTCTTTCATTTAAAAGACATTTTCATTTAAAATACTTAAATTATTAATTTAATCTAAACAAAATTTCAAACATATATACAACAGTGAAATTTGTCATTAATGAGACGTACTACTAATTAATTTTGATGAACAAAATTCTCTTGATCATATTATTAACCTCGAGAGTTCGTTTACCTTAGTTTTGATATCAAAATGCATGTCAAACAGAAACGGGTCCATCTTTATATGTGAGGGTGCACATACACCTGTTAACTTCGTTAAAAATTGTGTATATAGATATGTATATATAGCTTAAGGTATGACATATATTTCATTAAACACTCTAAAAACAGTAGAACTAAATGGGTGCACTAGTTTAAACTTTGTGCCCCTCCTCAATTTGAGGTGATGGACTGGGTTCCCCCATTTTTCATCGGAGAACCTTACAAATATTGGATAAAATAAGGGGTTGATAGTTTCGAACTTACAACCTAAGTTCAAAATCAACACTTCACACAGTAACTTTATGTACTAATTAAAGTCATTTAATTCAAATTTATATGTTAATACATTAGTTTACTATTCTATGGTTAACAAAAATATCACACGAATCAATATTAAGTGACATGCTTTAATTAAATAACATGCATTAGCCGTTGATGCACCCATCGTCTCTGAATCCTTGGTTAGCTTCTGATATGTAAATGACAAATGATACTATTAATTTGTACAATTTTGAAAGAGAGAGAAACTTGTTGAAACATTGATAAGCTTAAGCTTAAATTACATCAAGTGGGTACTAGGTAGGGACAATATGATATGATGTTCTATTTACTTATTATTCAAGTCCTCCTTTTACACATTAGTTTATTATTGGCCCATAAAGGAAACCCATAGGCCCATTGTTGCGTCTGGGCCTTTATACATTTGACAAAGCCTTAACAACTCCAACAAAATCATGCTTGAATCCATATTCTGCAAGAAAATGCTTTGATGGAATGATTTTTGTGTACACATAGAAGGCTACACAACCAATAGTTGGTCCAACCCAAAAGATCCAATGTCCATCCCAAAGGTGACCTCCTCTAATAATAGCTGGCCCCAAACATCTTGCCGGGTTAATCCCAGCCCCGCCATAGCCCTTTTTCGCGGTCACTGTGGTCGAGATAAACACTAGAAGGCCTAACACTACACCAACAATGGACAACACAGTGACGTGTCCAAGAGCTTTAGCTTGTCGATGATCATAAGCCATCCAAATTGAAGCAAAGAGAAAAACAAATGTACAAAATATCTCTAGCCATAAGGCTTGGGCCGTTTCTAGGCCCTTAGTAACGGGCCCATTTGGGCCCGGTGCAATTATTGTGACAGTACAACCACCAAGTGAGAAAGTGTCTTCAATTGATGAACTAACCACTGCTCTGAGAGCTAGTGCACCTAAAATTGCACCAAGACATTGAGCCACAATGTAAATTATGGCTCTTGACATGGATATAATTCCAACGAGCGCAGCCGAGAAAGAGATAACCGGATTGATATGGCCTCCGGACACCGGAACAACAGCCAGGAGTAGAATTGTGATCACAACTGCTATGAGAATTGACATGATCAAATTTGGCATTTTTGTTTCACTTTCAAAAGTGGAAATTACTATAGTATCCAACATGAAAACAAGAACTGCTGAGCCTAGGAGTTCTCCCATCGACGCTCGCCATACCTATATAACAAAAAATAGAGTTTAAATTTTATGCACTCACGATAGTCATTTATTTATTCTGAAGGCAATTAGTGATGAAATCAAAATATATTACTAACATCCAAACAAAAGAAGTCCTGGATGCCCAGCCTTTGAGAGAGTGAAAGAAAATTTGGCTTCTTTCCGTCATCATCAATAGTATTCCTGCTAATAGGAGTGAGATTATAAATATTAGTTGAGTGATCATTTGAGAAATTAACCAGACAAATTAAAGTACAAATGATAATAAATCAAAGGACATACTTTCTTGGTGTAGAAGAGCAAGGTTGAACTCTATTAGTCCCACCAGAAAGCTGGCTTTCCTCATCACCAAAAACAACATTACTATTGGAAGCCATATGTGGGAGAAAACTAAGATAGTTGATCCTAGTATTTAGCTTAAGGTTTTAATGCATTTTCCCTGAAATTGTGTGCATGAATATGGGGTTATAAATACTACTCTCCAACCTCCACTGCCTAACCTATCTTTTGTTATTATTATTATTAAAATGGGATCCCTATTAAAATACAAGAAAGTTCTGTTTACTTGTATATATCAAGCAAAAGAGATCTCTCTTGACCAATTTTATTAGAGTAGTCAATTTTTTTATTTTTTATTTTTGTTATATAATATGGTTGTTCTACTACTACATGTACGGATGTGACAGATCTTTGTTAAAATAGTAGGCCTTTTTGAAATTAGGAATTATAATTTAAGAATATCAAGCTCTACTTTTTCATCCTCTTTATTATTTATCTACGACTACAAGTCCTAAGAGTGTAAACATATTAAGTACTTTTTTATCTTTTTGGGTTCGAATTCTCTGGGTTTAGAGATACTTTTGTTAGAGAGCGCTCTACCTCCAATGTGTGATTTCTCGGTGTGAAATTCAAATTTAGTCACGCTTCAATAAGGATACCGGACACTAGGTGGAAACAAAAAAAATGTTCCTTTCTGAACCATTTTGGTGTGGGGGGGGGCATATGCCGCTGTGGGTGGGGCGGCGGGGGGGGGGGGGAGTATAGGTGAGTTTTGTTTAGCATAAATTAGGACAAAGAATATATCACTTATCTCTCTTTTAACACGATTATGTATTAATTATGGAGTAGTAATTAAGGAAGAAAGTATTTTAAAACAAATTCAGTAATAGGAGAAGACGATTGATGTTGGGTGTGGAGGAATGATTTTTTAAATAGATACATCAAATATTAAAATATGTAAATTAAAGAACTCGTACGATCGTGGAAAATAGTTGTTATGTAGATGGAAAAATCACAAGGGAAATTAAATATCCAACAATAGATATGGGAGATCAAATATCTTATTTTTATTGTGTCATCAATATTTCCTTATTTTTATCCAATAATTTACCGGTAGTCTTGGAATTTGCATGATTTGTGGCTTAATTCAAGTATAGAATCTGCCTTAATTTTTATTTGTTGTATTTTGCTTTCGGATAAGGAAAAAGTATTCTGAAACTGTGATCGAAATTTCAGAGACACATTTAATTAAACTAACGTCTTATTACTTTTTCGAACTCTTTTTATTTGTAATTTTATACACTTTTTGGCTTATGTGGCACACTCCATGACTCCTAGTAGTTGAGGCGCGTGGAGATGTTTGAATGTCATGTAAGCCAAAAAGGTGTACAAAATTACAAAAAAAGGGTTAATGGGGTAATAGGACATTAGTTTAATTAAGATGTGTCTCTGCGATTTCGATCATAGTCTAGAATAGAGCTGTTCAAAATCGAACCGAAAAAAAAGTTATTGGTTTATGAGTATTGGGTTATTGGTTTAGCGGTTTTGATAACGGTGTTGATTTTTTTTCTTATCGGGTTATCGGTTCTTAACGGTTTGAGGTTTTTTCTTAACATGTTAACTGATAACCCAGTAGTAAATTAAATAATTTATTTATGTCATTTCGTATATAAAGTCTTTGACTTAGAGTTTGGTTTCCTATTTTTATTTCTGGTTGTCTCAAACACTTGGTTATTCTACAATGTCAAAATGTTTGCTTTTAAGCAAGATGTAAATTGTGAACTCATGTGCATGGTTTATTTGGTTTGTCACCTTGTTTCTAAGTGATTTTCAATGTTTTTTTGTATGTCAAATCTTAACGGTTAAACCGATTACCGAACCGATAACGATCAAAAACCGATGAACCAATAATCGATAAGCCAATATCTTAATGGTTTAATAACGGTTTAGCATCTCTACAAATCGATAACCAATAAGCCAAACTGATAAACTTCAAAACCGAACCGAATCGCGATACGCAACCCTAGCCTTATCCTTTTTTTTCTTTTATACCTCTTACAAAAACATTTTATTTATTCTTTTATTTGTCATGTTTTATTTTCTTTAGAGTCAAATGCTTAAACGAACACGTTAAAACTTATAATTAGAAATTCCCAAAAAATGAAAAAAATGAATGCTTAACTATAAATATAATCGATCTTAAACCATGCATTGAGTGTGATTACATAAGTTCTTTTCCAAGAAATTGGCAATGACGCATTCTTTTTATCTTTTAAAGGAAAATATCAAAAACAAAAATAAGATGACGTAGAAAATTATTTTCTTTGTCTATCTTTATGTGTTTAATATTGTCTTGGCATATATTTTTAAGAGTAATAAATAGAATAATAATTTTATTATATCATATTTTGAATATAATAAATTTATTATTCAGAAAAATAACTATAGCTAATAATATTTTCTTTTAAAATAAATAAGCAAAATGAATATTTTTTAATATGATAGAAATAATAAAAGTAGACGGATGAAATACAGTACAGTTGAATGATATTTAAAGATAGAGATTGGGCAATCTTTTTATTGTTGAAACTTATATATTGCAGAATAAATAAAGAGGGAGATAACGATCTTTGGGTTGGGGGTCATTTATTAGGCAGGTCACGAAGCTTTCGACTTCTTTAATTCTTTGTTACTTCCTCCGTCCAATAATAGTTGTCTATTATACTAAAAATAATTATTCAACAATACTTGTTCAATTTAGAAAATTAAGAAATAATTTAACTTTTGTATCTATTTTACTCTTGCTATTAAATATTATTTATCATATAACATATTTTTTAAAGTATTAAATTTAATAAAGTCAAAAAATAATATAATAATAATACCCATATTATTTATGATTTCTTAAGGGGTGTGTCAAGTCAATAGTGAACAACTACGGACAGACGAAGTATTAATTAAACTGCTCAAATTTATAGCACCCACTTGCCCAACAAAGTTATCCTCCCTATTTATGGTTTTATGTATTTTTATTTAATTTCTTTAATTAATGAAAAGTGTGTTGATGAAAGTATCTAAACAGTCATAAATAAAGAGATTGGAAGATTAAATCAACATTTTCTATGCTAAATTTGTTTATATTTACTTCCCCGAATAATTACTTCTTGTTGTAAAACAAGAGGAAAATGTAAGAATACTTAAACAAGAAAGTAAGACAAAGTGTGATGGAAAGTATAAAGTTGAAAGTCTTATTTTAATTTCTTCAATTGTATCTTTTACAAGGGTGAAGCTACCCTTTTATAGGATGTTCAAACCATCCTTTTACAACATTTGACAATACGTTACTATAATATTTAATTAATATAATAAATGAATACATTACGTTAGGATAGATTAAGAGAAACATCCACACAATTAAGTGGATTTGTAACACTCCCCTTTGAATGTTTATAGATAATGTGCCTCGTTAAAATCTTAATAGGAAAAATCCAGTGGGAAAAAACCTAGTGAAGAAAAAAGAGTACACACATCTTGTTATACGCCCTGAGTGCTACCTCATTAAAAACCTTACCAGGAAAACTCAATGGGACAAAACCTTGGTTAAGGGAAAAAGAGTACAGCGCGTATTTTACTCCCCCTGATGAAAAATTTATTTGATATCTTGGATACGACACATTCCAATCTTATATCTTAGCTTCTCAAATGTTGACGTTGGCAACGCCTTAGTGAATAAATCTGCAAGATTATCACTTGAATGAATCTGTTGAACATTTATCTCACCATTTTGTTGAAGATCATGTGTGAAAAAGAATTTAGGTGAAATATGCTTTGTTCGGGCTCCTATGATATATCCTCCCTTTAATTGAGCTATGCAAGCAACATTATCTTCATACAATATTGTTGGAGTCTTTGTTTGCACAGAAAATTCGCATAATTGCAAAATATGTTGAGTCATTGATCTCAACCATACACACTCTCGATTGGCTTCATGAATGACTATTATCTCTGCATGACTCGAAGAAGTAGCAACTATTGTTTGCTTCATCGAACGCCATGATATAGTTGTACCTCCATATGTGAATAAATAGCCTGTTTGAGACCGGGCTTTATGTGCATGGGTCAGTCAAATATCCTGCATCTGCATAACCAATCAATTCTGACTTGGATGCATTAGAATACAACAATCTCATACCAATTGTTCCTTGAAGATATTTGAATATATGCTTAACACCTTTCCAATGTCTTCTTGTTGGACATGAGCTGAATCTCGCCAATAAACTTACTGCGTAGAAAATATTTGGTTGGGTATTGTTGGCAAGGTACATTAGTGCCCCAATAGCACTGATATATGGAGTTTCATCACCAAGAAACTCTTCATCCTTTTCTTGAGGTCGGAATGGATCTTTATTTATATCAAGAGATCTCACAACCATTGGGGGTACTCAATTGGTGTGATTTATCCATGTAAAATCGCTTCAAAACCTTTTCAGTATATGTTGATTGATGGATAAATATTCCATTTTTCAAATGTTCAATTTGAAGGCAAAGGCAAAATTTTGTCTTACCAAGATCTTTCATGTCAAATTCTTTCTTCAAACACTCAACAACTTTTGAAAGCTCTTTAAGAGTTCCAATGATGTTCAAGTCATCAACATAAACAGATATTATTACAAATTCAGATTTTGACCTTCGTATAAAAATACAATGACAAATAGGGTCATTCTTATACCCTTCTTTTAGCAAATATTCGCTAAGACGATTATACCACATTCACCCTGATTGTTTCAATCCATATAAGGATTTTTGAAGCTTTATTAAACAACTTTCGTTTGAATTTTTATATACTTCAGGCACTTTGTGTGCTTCAGGGATTTTCATAAAAATATTGTGGTCTAGTAGCCATACAAATAGATTGTGACAACGTCCATTAGATGCATTCCAAGCTTTTCATGAACTGTTATATTTATTAGATACCTGAAGGTAATTGCATCTACCACATGAGAATATATCTCCTCATAATAAATGTCAGGCCTTTGCGAAAATCCTTGTACCACAAATCGTGCTTTATACCTTACGACTTTACCATTTTCATTGCGTTTTTGTACAAAAATCCATTTGTGCCCCACTGGCTTAACACACTCAGGTGTTCAGACCATTGGTCCAAAAACTTCACGTTTTTCAAGTGAAGTCAATTCTGTTTGAATTGCTTCCTTCCATTTTG